AGGGGACTTGGAGCTAGTGGAACAGGGATTACTCATCATGACGCGGAAGGGGGAGCACCCAAATGGATGCCGTGTACAAAGGAGCCGATAGAGATTACGCTGCAGCCTGCGGAAAGGGGTGAGACCAAGATACGAGTGCAGTGCGGGATGACAGAATCGGATGACTACGACATCCTGCTAGGCATGGAGCTGCTGTTTAGGGTGGGAGCGACAATATGTACTTGGGAGGAGCGGGTGCAGTACCGTACTGAACGTTGGAGGGAAGGAGGAGAGCTGGGCGAACTGCCGGTCAGGTTTGTTAAGACAGAACCCAAGAGGGCCTGGAGAGCAGGGGCGGTCAGGGGAGAGAGGAAGAAATGGGATGGAGAAAGCGCACTGGCAGGAATGGGGGCAAAGCTGAGTGAGTACAGTGTGACGCTAGTGGAGCTGTTTGGAGGCATAGGAGCGGGGCTTGCAGCAGCCTTAGAGGCCGGCCTGGAGGTTAAGAAGTGGCATTACATAGAGTTAAACCCGGAGGTGCGTAAGATGGCGTGGAGTCATGCCAGGGCCTTGCAGGAGCGGTATCCAGCGCAACTGCGAAAGGAAGTCATAGTAGAGGCAATGAAGAGAGAGCATTGGGATGTAAGGGAGATCAGCAGGCAGGAAGTGAGAAGCTCGGGAAAGGTGGACTTACTGGTGGCCGGATGGGAGTGCCAGGGCACTTCTCGGGCAGGCAAGGGAAGAGGGCTGCAGGATGAGTGCACGGGGTTAATCAAGAAGCTCCTGGAGGTCATGGCCTGGATGAGGGAAGAAGGAGAAAGATACGCGTACATCTTGGAGCACGTGGATATGAAGGGAGATCCTCGAGAACCGGTGCGAGCTGTGAGGGAGATGGTAGAGGCACAGCTAGGGAAGGGAGTGAGTTGGGATGCGGCCCTGCATGGAGCACGATGTCACCGGTCACGGTGCTACTGGCAGAACGTGCTACCAGAGGAAGATCTGCGTGCAAGACTGTCTAGGGTGGAGAGGGATGACCGGAGGATAGTGGAGGACATCCTGGAACCCGGGCGCGTGGCAGCTCCAGTGTGGAAGCCGGACCATCCCGTGCAGCACCAGTGCAACAGGATAGGAGAGGCACGACGAGCCTTGCCGACGCTGGTCGCCTACCCAGGAGCAAGGGGGTCCGTTGAGGCAGACGGCCAGCCTGGCCCAGGGATGATATATGACCACAAAAGGAAGAGATGGGAGGAGCCGACAGCTTTGGAGAGAGAATTGGCTATGGGTTATCTAGCGGGAGCGACCGCAGCACCGGGTGTAAGTGAGGAGGCAAGGAGGGCAGCGGTGGGGAGAGCTATTGATCAGCACTCACTGAGATGGCTGATTGGCGAAATGAGGAAGGGGGCAAAGGGGCCTGGAGGTAAGAAGGCAGGGGGGGAAGGGGGGCTGCGGAAGCAGCCAGCGTACTCAGCGGTGGAGCTGAAAAAAGAAGTAAGGGCGGAGCCAAGGCAAGAGAAGCTGAATGTCAGCAAGGGGCCAGAGAAGGAATGGGAGATAGGGGCAGATGTGGAGGCAGGGGCTGCAAAGGCGATCAGGCAGCTGCTGAAAGCGCATAGGGGCACATTTGCATACAACCTGCAGGAGCTGGGGCAGTACAAGGGCGGGGAATTAGAAATAAAGCTCACGACGGAGATATCGACTTACCAGCGCAGGAGGCGCATGAATGCTGAAGATGCGGCCATCTGCAAAGAGAAGTGTGAGGAGCTGCTGGCAGCAGGAATCATCCGCCCATCCGAGTCTATTTATGCAGCTGCCACGGTGGTCGCAGCCAGGAAAGATTTGACCGGCGCGGTTCTGTCACGACGGATGTGCGGGGATTACCGTGATCTGAATAAGATCACGGAACCCATGCCGACAGCAGAGGATATATTTGACCTGCTGGAAGGGGCAGTCATTTTCACCACGCTAGACCTTAGGCAGGGGTTAAACCAAATTGCCATAAGGGAGGAGGACAAGCGCAAAACCGCATTTCATGGGGTGGACGGATTGCATGAGTACAACAAGATGCCATTCGGCATGCGGAACGCATCTGCCGTGTTCCAGCGAGCAATGGATCAGGTACTGCGTGGCATACCAGCAGCAGCGTGTTACATTGATGATGTGCTGGTCTTCAGCAAAACGGACATGCCGCATGTGGAGGACCTGAGACGGACACTAGAAGCAATAGCAACAATAGGACTCACCTGCGTAAGATAGCAAGGCGGACGGTGGCGTATCTGGGATTTGAGGTGAAAGGGGGCAGGCTGGGTATTCAGGAGGCGAAGGTTAAGGTGTTGGGCAAGCTGGCGCCGCCGAAGGACAAGTCAGGGCTGAGAGCGTTGCTCGGCTTCCTGAACTACTACAGGAAGTGCGTGCCGAATTTCAGCCGGCGAGCAAACCTCCTGAATCAACTGCTCAGGGAAGGAAAGCGATGGGAGTGGGGAAAGGAGGAAGAGGCAGCTAGACAGGATCTACTAGAGGCAGTACGGACAGGCACACTGCTACAGATACCCATGGCAGACGCTCCCTTCACGCTTTACACTGACTGGAGCTGCATGGGGATGGGGGCAGTCCTGTGCCAGGAGATTGAGCGAGAGGAGCGAGTGGTAGCATTTGCCAGCCGCAGCTGCAGCCCGACCGAGGCAAATTACTGCTCATATGAAGGCGAGGGGTTGGCAGCTGTATGGGGCATCAACCATTTCAGGGTCTACCTGCAGGGGCGTAGGTTCGTGCTGGTAACCGACCACCAGCCTTTGATGTGGCTGATGACAAACCAGGAACTGACGGGACGGAATGCCCGCTGGGCGATCAAGCTGCTGGGATACGACTTTGAAATCCGCCACTGCCCGGGCAAGACCCTCCAGCATGCTGACGGTCTGTCTAGGAACCCTCCACCTGTGCAGCCCGTGGCGCAGCTGGTAGCCGTAGCACAGGTGCCGGCAGCTGGCTGGGGGCAAGAGAAAGTGGAGAAGAGGCAGCTAGATGTCTGGGAGGATACCGAGACTCTGGAGTGGATTAAGGGAGGGAGCACGGAGGGCGAGGAGGCCAGTGAAAGGGCAAGGGCCAGGGGGCAGCATTACCGTTGGTACCAAGAGCAGCTGCAGCTTCGCACCAGTGAGGGATGGAAGATATTGCCACAGAATAAAGGACAGGGAAAGGATCATGCGGCGGGTGCATGGGAAGCTAAGGCATTACGGAACGGCACGCACCAATCAACTACTGAGCACGATGTACTGGTGGGCAGGGATAAGGAGGGACGTCAAGGAGCTGGTAGATGAGTGTGCAGCCTGCAGGCGTAACAAAGCAGCACTGGAGAAGGCAAGGGAGGAGCTGCAGTCACTGCCGATTCGGGGACTGGGCTACCGCTGGTCGCTAGATTTGGCTGGGGAATTACCTCTGTCCAAGAAAGGCAAGCAATACATACTCGTGATGGTAGAGCACACCAGTAAGTGGGTAGAGGCCAGGGCACTGCCGAGCAAGAACAGTGGGCTGATTGCAGAGGCGTTCGTGGAGCAAGTGATCAACAGGTTTGGGGCGTGCGGGGAGGTGTTAACTGACCAGGGTACCGAGTTCAAGGGCTGCTTTGAAGAGACTTTGCAGGAGCTGCAGATCACTCACCGTGTGACATCAAGGTGTCACCCGCAGTCGGATGGCTTAACGGAGCGGCTGATTCAAACGCTGAAGAGAGGGTTGCGGGCCTACGGGGAGACGAACAAGAGAGGATGGGACCAGGAGCTACACTGGATCCTCACATGTTATCGCTTTGCCAAGCAAGCGGCATTGAAGGACATGTCGCCGTACCACCTGTTGTACGGGAGGCACCCCATCCTACCCGTGGATGCACCGAAGTTGCTAAGTGCGACGGTAGATGCAGACGAGCCACACCTGTGGGCTGAGCTGGCTAGGAAGAGGGCGGCCTACCTGAAGGAACTGTCGCCGGCAGCGCTGGACAACCTCCACGTGACGCAGCTGAGGGACGCTAGACGTTACCAACAGAGGAAGGCAGGGGAGCAGGGCAGCAGACGTAAGGGAGTAGAGACTGGGGAGGAAGTGTACCTGAGGCAGCCCAAGCGAGATACGCTAGACCTGCCAGTCGGACCAGAACGCTGGAAGGTGAAGGAGATGAGGCAGTCCGGGGTGCTGGTGCTAGAGGATGAGCGAGGAAGGCGCATCAAGGAGCACGTGACCAATGTGGCCGTGGCTGGAAAAGGGAAGGGTCAGGCTGTGGGTCCCGAAGCCAGAGTTGCCTGTGCTGGAACTCAGGCTTGGGAGGGGGCAGTGCAGCCTGAGAAACAAGGAGAAGGCAGGAGCGGCATCATCACATACACCAGGAGGAAGAAGAGGCAGACAGGCGGCACCGGGACAGGCAAGCAGGCATGAGAGGATGAGGGTGAGAGAGGAGGTGAAAGTACCTGTCAGGAAGAAACAGGGAATTTGAGAAGGAGGAAGAGAAGAACAGTCGGAAGAGCAGAAGGAGAGGAGCTACTTCACGACACCGCTTCTGGCCCACATGTTCATTCCCTGATAGCACGGTCTCTTCTCTCTCCCAAATCCTCTTATAAGCCACTGCCACTTTCCCTCCTTTCCCTCCTTCCCTCCCCCCCCCTCCCAGCCAGCTCTGCACCGCACCTGCCTCTCCCACAGCCACAAGTCCGCAGCCATTTCTGCCCCACTACACGGAAATCGCCCCCTCACAGCACAACCGCACTGCTCACCCACCGCAGGCCAGGGCACCATTCCCTCCCTTTCCTTTACCCTCTCCCTCCCCACCATCCCCTTCCCCACCCCTCCCAGCTCTGCACCTGCTTCTTCCACGCCAACGACTGCCCCACGGATTCTTGCCGCTACGGTGGCGCCGCACTGTCTCACCAATGCACTGTACCCTCCCTCCCCATACCCTCTCCCTTCCCCACCTATTTCAGCCAACTCCCCCCTCGGCGCCGCACCTGTTGCTCCCATTCTTTCTGACATCTGTTTCGCGGATTTCAGGCCTTATGGTGTGGCCGCACAGCTCTCACCCACGCTCTGTCCCTTCCTCTCCCCTTCCCCTGTCTTTCCACCAGCTCCGCACCGCACCGCACCTGCTTCTCCTGCTCTGGTTCCTGACCCAGAACCCGCCCCTGCTCAACCAGGCAGAGGCTGCTGACGTGACGTAGGGGCGTTGAGCGAGAGGCATTGGCGGCGCAAGTGGCGTTGGCGGCAACAGTGGCAGCAGCGGGGAGCACAGGAGGGAGGGCAAGAAGGGAGGCGAAGGGGCGTTGACAAACTCGAAGTCGGCGAATCGCTAATGTGAGACGCCCTGAGGTGAGATGCATGAGGGGAGAAAGCAAGGGGGAAGGGGTGGTAAAGAATTGGGGTTTCAAGGAAGGGGGGCTCAAGGAAGGCGCGTTGAAGGACTGGGGGGTGAAGGAAGGCAGGTTGAAGGAAAGGCGGGAGAAGGAAGTGGGGAGAGGGGAGTTGAACTTGATGCGTGTGAGAGGCAATGCGTGAGAGGCAATGCGTGAGAGGCAATGCGTGAGAGGCAATGCGTGAGAGGCAATGCGTGAGAGGCAATGTGTGAGAGGCAATGTGTGAGAGGCAATGCGTGAGAGGCAATGTGTGAGAGGCAATGCGTGAGAGGCAATGCGTGAGATGAGAGGCAATGTGTGAGAGGCAATGTGTGAGAGGCAATGCGTGAGAGGCAATGCGTGAGAGGCAATGTGTGAGAGGCAATGTGTGAGAGGCAATGCGTGAGAGGCAATGCGTGAGAGGCAATGTGTGAGAGGCAATGTGTGAGAGGCAATGCGTGAGAGGCAATGCGTGAGAGGCAATGTGTGAGAGGCAATGTGTGAGAGGCAATGCGTGAGAGGCAATCTGTGAGAGGCAATGCGTGAGAGGCAATGCGTGAGAGGCAATGTGTGAGAGGCAATGTGTGAGAGGCAATGCGTGAGAGGCAATGCGTGAGAGGCAATGTGTGAGAGGCAATGTGTGAGAGGCAATGCGTGAGAGGCAATGTGTGAGAGGCAATGCGTGAGAGGCTGTGAGCAGTTTTTGTGGGGGGGAGAGAGGATGTATGCTAGAGTCACTTGAAGGACTGGCAGGGGCTGCCCAGGGCAGGGCGGCTGATGGAGCTGGCGGCGGAGGCTAGTGGGGATGCGCTGGAGCTCAGAGGGGAGTTTAAGAGGATTGTCCGCAGCACCCTTCAACTCTCCCTTCCCACCCACCTATGCACAATTCCTCCGTTCCCACCCTCACCTCATCCCTGATCCATCCAGCTCTCCTTCCCTCCTGCTTGCTGTTCTCATGCCCTCGCGCACCCACTCGCTCAGCCACACTGCTTGCCCAGGCATCATCTCAGCCACACTGCTTGCCCAGGCACCATCTCAGCCACACTGCTTGCCCAGGCACCATCTCAGCCACACTGCTTGCCCAGGCACCATCTCAGCCACACTGCTTGCCCAGGCACCACCTCAGGACTATCTCAAACCTATCCCTTCTCGCTACCTTTACGCACTCCCCTTTCGTTTGTCCCTTCCCGCTCCCTTTTCCAACCCCCCCAACCCTTACCCCTCCCTTTACCTGTAACCCCTCCCTCCCCCCTTACCTCCTCCCCATCCCCTTACCCACCCCCCTCCCCCGACCCGCTTCCTTTCCCCCTTACCCATTCCCGCTCCCGTTACCTCCTCCCTTTACCCGTGCCCCCTTCCCCTTCCCCTTTCTGCTTCTCATTCCGCCTCCCAACCCTTCCCGCACCCCTCCCCTCATCCCAATCATCCACCGCGACGCGTCTAGGCTCTTTCGTGCCCCGACTTGCGACTCGTCTAGGCTCTTTCGTGCCCCGACTTGCGACTCGTCTAGGCACTTTTGTGCCCCGACTTGCGACTCGTCTAGGCTCTTTCGTGCCCCGACTTGCGACTTGTCCCCGTCGAATCTACATGGGCCTGTGATGTGCGTGCACAGGCATCACCACAAGTGTCAAGCCGGACAATGACCTCGCCTCGCCTCGCCTTGCCTTGCCTTCCTGGAATGATGCCACGCCTCGCCTCGCGCCTGCGTCTCCTGCAACCCCACGTGTCGCCTGCCTGCCCAAAGTCTCATGCTATCCTTCCCACCATGGCGCCGCTCCCTTCCCTCCTTCCCTGCTCTCTCAAATAGTCCTTGTATTGATTCAAACGTGTACACGTCAGATAATGAGAGAGCAAGGTAAGCCGATCTCCGCCATCCTTAGTAAATCTATATCCTCTAAGCCGGTCTCTCCCTCTCCAATCCTCTCACCTTCCACTCCCCACCTCAACTCCCTCACCCGCTCCCCCGCTCGCACCCTCCCAGCTGGCTTCATTTCAGCTTCTTTTGAAGATTATCATGTTTGATACAAGCATCACGCTGCTCATTTTCCCTCCTTTCCTGCCCCCCCCATGCTTTCCAGCTCCGCACCTGCTTCTACACCCACTCCCGCCCCCCGCCACTACGGTGCGAGCACACTGTTCACGGGAAACCTGTGGCCTTGCGGGCTGCTGAGTGCACTCCGTACCAAGATATTCTCTCGTCAACACACCTTACTGCTGATGTTCACGGGTACCGTTCATTGCTGGCTGGGTGAAGAAGGTGCGTGGGTGGTGCAAAGGGCTAATTGTGGGGCACCAGTGGGTCACTACCGGGTCTGTGACAGGTCACTATCAGGTATTGTCCCCCCATCCCCTTCCCCTTACACTTTCCCATCCCCGTCCCTTTCTCCACTCCCATCGACTTCTCCATCCCCTCCCCCATCCCCCTTCTCCACTTTTTCCCCCTCCACGTTCCCATCCTCATTGCCATCTCCCACATCCGCAGGTGTGCATAGTGCAGCCAGCAGCAGCTCCAATCCGCCCTGCTCTCTCCCTCTCTCCCCCTCTCTCTCCTTCCGGCCATGCTCCCCCCCAACTACCCACCACTGAGGTTAGTATTGTACCATGTATCGAACCTGCCTCTACCGACTCAGGTAAGTGCTCTCATTCATCTCCTGTGGCGCCTCCGCTGCCATTCGCACCCCATTGTCTCTTGTGTCAACCATTAAATGTGGAGGAGACAGTCACTTACAGCCTGCGCCTAGAATGGCAAGGGTTCGAAAAAACTGAACTTGAAAAGGGTTGCGCGGATTTTGACGACAGGAGAATTTGCCGAGGCATGTGGCGAAGGCGGAATGCTCCAGAGTGTATCGCAACTTCAAGAAACTTGAACAAACACTAACGACAAAACAATACCCAACCACTCTCACGCTGCTCACAACTCAGATTTTCGCCGAGTCCACAAGCGCACTCTTGGAGCAGGCTGAGAAAAGCGTGCGACGGGACCAGGTTGTTAGAACATTAGTGTTAGGAAACTAAGTATCCAGACTAAAATTGCTAGGTATAACATGTGGGAATATATACGTTTAGGCCGCAATCGATAGGAATCCGAGGACCGAGGGAGGGAATGTGGCGCGAATGCAAGTGCGAAGCACGGAAATGTGCGGCACGAGATGAGAAATTAGAGCGCTGTCGACCTTGCATTCACCGTCTGGCGCCCTCGCTTCCCCGTCCCATCGCCCTCGCTTCCCCCTCCCATCGCCCTCGCTTCCCCCTCCCATCGCCCTCGCATCATCCCATCACACTATTACCCCATCACCCTATCTCCCCATCACCCCATTATTCCATTACCCCATTACTACAGCTCCCATCTACGACCATCCATTGATCCATCGTCCCAAATCATTCCCACCATTCCCAAAACATCTGCCTAGTGCCAGTGGTCTAGTGGTAGAATAGCACCCCCAACCTCGGCGCCTGCAGCCGCAGATCGACCTGCAATTCCTCAAGCCACTTGGGAGGCCATTCCAACCTGGGATTGGCCTTCCTTCTTCAGCCCAGCAGTCTCACCTGGCCCTATTCTCCGCCGAATCCCCTCCCGCATCCGACTCCTCATTCTCGATGCACTTCTCATTCCACTGCGCCGCCTTGCACAGCAGCCTTCTGACGTCGCTGCACACCTCATTCTCTTGGCATTTCCGCGTCTCTTGCTGCGCCTACCATCCGCCGCTGCTCCCACGCAGTCCCTTACCTCTTCATGTGCCTCCTTAGCGCGCCGCTTCATCAATGGTGACTGGCAGTCTCTTTTCAGTGAGGCTGTAGCTGCAGCCACTCCAGCCGCCAGACCTCTGCACATGGCATCGGCACGTTCTACGGCGCTGCAGGCTCGTCTCAACCGTGCGAAGCGGTTTGCGAAATGCGGGGACTGGTCGCGGTCACTGGCAGCACTGGAAGCTGGCGAGCTAGCTCCTCCATCATCAGAAACGGTTGCTGCCCTTGGCTCCAAGCACCCACCTGCTGCAGCAGAAAATCCTGACTGGGTACACAGCTTCACTCCTGCAGCCGCACCACAGCTTACCGTCCCTGTTCTCCACGCCGCTCTATAGTCCGCCCCTCGTGGCACAGCTGCTGGTCCTTCTGGGTGGTTCATTGAGCACCTCAGGGACACGTTTCTCTCTCACCAGCAGCATCTCCCTTCTCTCCTCCACGTATTCCAGAACTGGCTGCAGGGTGATCTTCCACCTGCAGTCAGGCCTTTCTACACCGCTTCGAACCTCGTGGCCCTACAGAAACCGCATGGTGGTGTACGTCCCATCGCCATTGGGGAAGTGCTACCACGCCTCCTTTCACGCAGCATCACTCTCCTTTTCAAGCAGCAGATGCGAGAGACATTCCTTCCTCACCTTCAATTTGGCGTAGCAGTTCCGGCCGGGATCGAGATTATGTCGCACGCAGTGTGCTCCGCCTTCTCCCTTCATCCAGACTGGGTGGTGCTTCAGCTGGACGTTGCAAACGCGTTCAACTCGTTCAATCGGGTTTCCATGTTTGAGGCATTAAGGCGCTCCCCATTCTCCAGTCTCATTCCCTTCTTCCGCCTATTCTACTCCACCCCTTCACCTCTCCACTACCGCAGCGGCCCCCTTCTCCACACATTCCAGTCAGCTTCTGGTGTTCGTCAAGGCGACCCTTGTGGCCCTTTCCTTAACGCCCTAACACAGCAGCTAGCCATCCAACCAACCCAGCAGCAGTCTGCCTCAATTTTCATTACCTCATACGCAGATGATACCTACTTGGTCGGCCCTCCTTTAGACGTCTTTGCCGCATACACCGACCTTACCTCCCGCCTTCTCTCTCTCGGCCTTACTGTCCAACCCTCTAAGTGCTCTCTATGGGCCCCTATGGACGTGCCCGAACACTGCATTCCGCCCCCGGGTATTTCCGTCGCTGCAAACGGTCTCACTGTCGCTGGCGTTCCTACCGGCTCCGACGGTTACATCATCTCTACAGTTCGTGACAAGCTCGATTCTTTCACTACCTCCCTTCCTTTACTACATCAACTGCAGGACCCACAGATTGCCTCACGGATCCTTTCCTTATGCATCACTGCCCGGCCTTCTTTCCTCCTCAGAACTGTCGCACCTTTTCCCGAAATCCAAGAGCTACTCTCTTCATGGGACAGCACCATTTTCAGCCACTTCTCTCAGCTCCTGGGCCCCGAGTACTGGAATCCCACCTCTGAACAGTCCACATCGGCCCGCCTCCAAGCCTCGCTCCCTATCCGCTTAGGTGGCTTCGGCTTTCGCAGCTCTGCATCCATCGCCCCCCTCAGTTACCTTTGCAGCTGGGCGCAGGCAGTTTCGACCCTATCCACCCACTTCATCACTGATGGTGCTCCTCTTTTCCGCCCTTACGTCACCACGGACTCCATTAACCTCCTCGACCCTTCAATCTCATCTACCATGACCATGCTTCCCCAAGACATTCGTGATCGCTTCCCATCATGGCCTGTGCTTCAATCGGGCTACCCTCCTAAACTCTTTACTCACCTCTCCCAACACCTCGAAGCCGATTTGCTGGAGAAGGTTCGAGCCACAGTAACGTCCCCGCTTCGCCTTGCTCGTCTAACCTCCGCATGCAGGTGACTGGCTCACTGTGGCTCCATCCTCCCTGCACATGCAGCTTTCAGAGACCGAGTGGCGCATTGCAGCAGCTATCCGCTTAGGCCTTCCTCTTCCTCACCTTTCATCTTCACTCACCTGCACCTGCAACTCCCCGTTCACTGATCCTTCCATCCATTCTCATGTCCTTCGCTGCCCTAGCATCAACGAGCCTACAAAGGTGCACGACGCAATCAAACGAGAAGTTCATCGCATTGCCTTGGAGCTTGGGTTCTCTGCGCAGATGGAAGACCAGCATCTCCTGCTTGGCCGCCGCACAGACATCACATGCCGCGACATTAGCTCTGGTACCACCTGGGCCTTAGATGTTTCTGTTGCTGATCCACAAAAGGGGTTTCCGCACTCCAA